TTCAACATGGTACAGATTAATAGCAAACTACATGAAATGAACACATTGACTGAAAATGTAAAAAAAAAAAAAAAAAGATATGTTTGTGTGTGTATAAAGCATTTAAAAAGTAAAAACCAGTTATTAGGCTAGGATAATAGAATTGTGAGCTATTTTTAAAAATATTACAATTGCAATGATATTGTAATTATTTTTAGTCTTAATTAAATTTTACTGATGTCACTTTTACAAATTACTTCCCAGGATATTTAACAATTTTCAGGATAAAGGTCAGAAATCTTTTAAGAAAAAAAAAAAAAAATCAAAAAATTGAAAATAAAAAACCAAATTAACTTTCAAAATAAGAAAAAAAAAAAAGGACTTGGGAAGGTTAATTATCACTGATTATCAGCAAAATTCTAAACATTATTCAAGAAAGTAGTGAGCATTAGAGGCCAATCAGAATTCACTCAGAACTATGCAAATTATTTAAAATAATATTTTTAAATCTATGGAGTTTTTCTTTACTTTTAACTTTTTAAAATTAAAATCTCAGAAGTATGAGAGTTTGAGTTGCTTGTTGGGGTAGAAGAAAGAAGCCAAGTGAGACGGGCCAGACTCTCCTGTGCTCAGATCCCCACCACCTGCTTTCTGTGTAACCCTGAAGGATTTCATTCACTCCTTTTTTTTTTCTTTTTTTCCAGAAGGACAGCGATAGTACCCAGGGAGGGTACCTGGGATTGAACTCAGGAACACTGGACCACTGAGCCACATCCCCAACCCTATTTTGTATTTTACTTAGAGACAGGGTCTCACTTAGTTGCTTAACATCTCCCTTGCTGAGGCTGGCTTTGAACTCAAGATCCTCCTGCCTCAGCTTCTTGAGTCGCTGGGATTATAGGTATGTGCCACCACACTTGGCCTGATAATACCTTTCAATGGAACTGGGAGATGAAATATGGAGAACTATGAAAGTCATAAGGAAGTTGAGTACATGGTTCCTGTGCAGAATACCTGGCCCATTCACACATGAGTCCACTGAGGTATGAATCAGCAATACCCGTTGCATGTTAAGACTGGCCTTGGGTTATTTTTATTTTTATTGTTACTTTGTTTTGGTACCAGAGATTGAATCTAGGGGCACTTAACCACTGAGTCACATCCCCAGCCCTTTTTTAATTGTATTTTATTTAGAGACAGTCTCGCTGAGTTGTTATGACCATGCTAAGTTGCTGAGGCTGGCTTTGAACTCAAAATCCTCTTGCCTCAGTTTCCCAACCTGCTGGGATTACAGGTATGAGCCACCCTGGGTTATTGTTATTCTTAATCAAAGGAAATAATGCATGTTTAAAATGTTTTAAATGGGCTGGGGATGTGGCTCAAGCGGTAGCGCGCTCGCCTGGCATGCGTGTGGCCCGGGTTCAATCCTCAGCACCACATACAAACAAAGATGTTGTGTCTGCCGAGAACTAAAAAATAAATATTAAAAAAATTCTCTCTCTCTCTCTCCCCCCCCCCCCCCCTCTATCTTTAAAAAAATTTTAAAAAAAGAAAAAAGAAAATGTTTTAAATGTATAAAGGGCTGCACCAAAGAAAAGTGATGGCGTTGTTGTTATTATTTTGAAGGCATTGCAGGTTCTATAATGGAAATTCTGGTATAGATAACAAATGCCAAGAACCAAGTCAAAAAATAAAAACAAAAAATATCCTAGCAGGGAAGAATCATTTACCCAAAACTATTAAGATGAAAACTAAGTCCTACACTCTGCTACACCAGCCTTGGCAAAGAAAGCCCTCACCTAATGCAACTCCTGAAGACGACGAGGTGGCTTGATGACTGGGTTCTTGAGATAATCAGAGTATGTTATGTCACTAAAAGCTTTCAAAGCATTCATGCATCAACTGTAAGTTCTGTTTGTAGAGGCCCAGCATCCATTTGTCACCTCTTTTGTGTAGGACACACAGGGCCTGCTGCGTCACGTTCTGGTGCCATGCTTAAGAGACCCATGCCACGAGGAACAATCAGCACAAATGAATCTGTCGTGTATGGAACTGCTAAAATAGGTGGACATTTTCAGCCAGAAAGAGACTATTGAAAATGCATTCTATACAGAGGTTGGGAGGGGGGACAATCATTCCAAAGAGAGTTGTTATACAAAAAGAGAGAACCTAAGTCTTATTCACTCTCTCTCTCTCTCTCTCTCTCTCTCACACACACACACATACACTGTTTCACAAAGAAGAGCGTCTACAGATGGGCTTGCCTAAGAACAGAGCACTCCCTACCCATGAGTAGAAGTGTTCAAATCAAGGATGAACAAGTGCCTGTCAGAAGCAACTCAGAAGAGTAGAGAAGCTAATCAGGCCCAAGATCCCTTTCACCTGTAACAACCTGGGACTCTATCTGGCTTGGTGGTTTCGAGTGTGTAGGCACTATGGCAGCTAATGAGAATGAAGGTGGGAACTGTACCTAGCACCTAGAGACAGAATAGGGGGAACTGTAGAAAAGTACCTGCTGAAGGATCCATGCTGAGCGACAGAGGCATTGCCTGCAGCTTATTTGCAAGCGGAAGATCATGATATGGGGCAGGAAAAGAGGACAAATGGCAACTTTTGACCCTGACCTTTCATCTACTGACAGAAGATGAAACCTTCTTCTACTTCTGCTTCTACTTGGGCATTCAGGCACAAGACAACAGTTACCTGACCTCTAGAGTTCCCCCACTGGTCACAGTATGCATTCCACATTTGCACATCTGATACAGTATCTAAGTATACACAGCCAGCAGAGAAAAAAGTCTATCTTAGTGCCAAAATGCACTTGAAAAGCTCTTTAAAGCGTTTGTTATACAACACTGTAGAAGGACAGTCCTTTATTTAGATCGTATTGGCCTGTGAAAATCAATATGTCCTTTCTGGTCTTTACTGTATGAAAAAACATGCCTCTAATTATTGTTCCCAGGCCTTTACCCCTTAGCGTTGCTCTGGTGGTGCCATGGAATTGCAACATGTCTTCAAGCACTCCCCCAGAAGCATGCCACATACTTAGTGCTACCTGTGACTCTCTTGAGTGCTAACTAAAACAAACAAACAACAACAACAACAAAAAAAAAACCCAAAAAACACACAGCTTTAAATACCTTCCAAAGTCTATTTTCAAGAAAGATTTGTTCTCTTTTCCCATCATGCCTGATAGAGTTTTGAATAGCTATCTCCTGGGGTCCCATAGCTAGGGGAAAGATACTCTTTCCCACCTTCTAACTTTGAAGTTCAACCTCTTTTTTGACCCCAACACAAAGCACTCTTCACATACACCCCTTTCATCCATTCTTCTTTCTCTGCTCTGGAAAAGCCTTCAAACATTTGAAAACGTTTCCAAATCCTCATTCTGTCAGGCATACATGATGACTTAAATAGTCACTGTTCTGAAATTTTCTGTGCTGTTAAGCAAAAAAGAAAAGAAATATTGCCTCCATGAAAGAGAATAAGTCACAAAAACACCTTTGGAAAGGAGAGAGTTGGTAAGGGGGACGGGGAATGGGGGGGGGGGGGGGATGGGGAATGAGGAGATAGAGGTGAACCAACCTGGAAGGATCTTCCTAATTACCTTGCAGAGCAGTTGGGACAACTAAACCAGACAGTTCCCACAGGACAGAGCATTTCTGGCTAGGTAAGTACAAGATTAAAACAATAGTTATGATGATGTAAGAGTTTCATCTTACACATCCATGAGGCTACAACTGCTTACTAACATAAATTTACCAGGAGGCAAGTTGCACATTTGACTATCATAAACTGTCAAATTCCATTCTTGCATTTAGACTAAGCATCTAAAACTGCTCAGAACTGCCCAGAGGGCGGGAGCAAAAGGAATCTACATTTACTACTGCATTTATGGGGTAAAAAACACAAACTGTTTCACAAATTGCTTGACAGAGGATGGCGTATGATGTCTCTTATACATTAAGAAAATAAAAAATTATAGATGTCTAGGGTAACGATTGTCTAACACTGCCCACTCTTCATTTTGAGGCCCACACACCTCTCACAAAACACTCTTGCTGCATGCAATACCTCTGCAAGGGGAACCACTCAGACTCAGAGGACAAAGTGAGCTCACCACATCTCAATGCCTCAAAACAATGTAACTGCTGTGCAAGAATAGTGGTGGCTCCAGAATATTCCCAGCATCCTTCCTATACTGATGTTTACTAAAGTCCTGAGAACATTTGAGAAAACATTTGAGAGAACACTGGTGTGGCAAAGTCTAAAATCCAACATCTTTGGAGAGGGCTGGACCACGGTGGGGATGATGGAGTGGGAGGGGGAGGAATTTTCAAAAGCTCTTTGCTTCTTTAGCTATAACTTCAGCTCTTCAGTTGCCTTTAGACTCTGTCCAAACCAAGCGTGGGATGGCTGAGGTCTTAGAGAAAGAGAAATCTCTGAGAATAGGACACTATTTTCATGGATAGATGTTTCTTTGTGGGAGAGACAAGGACAACTAGCCTGTGAAAAGAACAGAGCCCTGATCCTGGCTCCAACCAGCGACCTTGAAGGAGGCAAGTCCTCCAGGGCGGCCTGGTGACAGGTCAGCAGCCTCACCCTGGGGGTGGGCCATCTTTGCCTGAATGAGGGTGACATCTAGCAAAGGGCAGCCGGGTAATGGAGGGGTTTTGGAGCGAGGGGATCTTTTTCCATAGGAGCATTGGACAGGGGTTGGGGTGCAGATTAGTAAAGGCTGAGGTGCCCTCTTGGAGGCGGGACTCAGCGCAACCGCAGAAGGGGTAAAAAGCCCTAGCTTTGCACCTAATAAATGTCGTCTTTGGTGGATCTCAAAGAATTAAATCAATAAGAATCCAGGTACACAGAGACCAGCACCACTTGGAGAACTTCTAGTCTCCCTCTGGCTTTGGTTTGAACCTTGGTCTGCAGGGAGAGGGACAGATGGGTAGGCTGGAGGCTACCCAGGGGGGAAAGAGCTCCTGAGAAGGACATGGGGACAGGGTGGTCGCGGCCCTTACCTTGCTGACCACATTCCGAACGAGGCCCGTGCGGATCCCATAGTCCCATTCGTGGCAATCGCAGTTGGAGGCGTTATCCCCCTTGTCCGGAGGGGACGGGAGAGGTGGCGTGTCGCCCCCATATGTGCTGTTGTTGTTGCTTCGGTTGCCCGCAGCTCCCCAGGAGTCCGTGGAGAAGGGGGTGGTCGGGAGACTGGTCCAATTGCCCATATCGCCCCACCGGCCGCTGACTGTGTTCCCCGCCAGCTCGGCGCCTTTGCCGGCCCCGCGGCACCAGAAGTTGGGCTGGTCCAGGAGGAAGGAGTCCGAGAACTGGCTGAAGCCGATGAATAGTGCTGGAATCCAGGTGAGCAGCACGAGGGTCTTCTGGTAGCCTCCGCCCAGACCCCCGAGGAAGGGCAGCACCGACCCGTCGTAGTCCAGCAACAGGAGGCTCGGGGCAGCAGTCGCCGAGCAGCAGCTCGAGTGCGGGCCGCTGCCGCCGGGATGCAGCGGAGGCAGCGGCTGGATCTCCGCGCCGCCGCCGGGGCCCGCGCGTCCCCCGAGGGGCGCCGAGGCCGCCGCGTCCCCGGGCGGCAGGGAGCCGTTCTCCTCCGCCGGAGGCGGCTGCCGCCCGGACCCGCCACCCGCCGCCTCACGCCGCCGGTCTATAGCCATGGCCCGGGCCCGCGGCGCCCGCAGAGGCGCATAGAGCGCGGCGGAGCTCCGCGGGCGCCCCGGGCAGAGCGCGCCGGGCCGGGCGCCCGCAGCCGCCGCCGCCGAGCAGGGCCCGCGGCTCTCGAGAGGGCGCTCCGCGGCCCCGAGTGCGTCAGGTCGCCCCCATGTCACCCGCCGGACCCCGCGCCCCGGGCGCTGCGGCCCCGCTTGGGCGCCTGGCAGAGGCGGGCAGAGGCCGGCCGGGCCCTCAGCCGCCGCCGCTCATGGGTTCAGTGCCGCGGCCGAGCCCGCCGCTCTCTGCTGCTACACGCCGGCCGCGGGAGGAGGAGGAGCCGGCGCCGCGCCCGACCCGCGCCCTTGTCGGCGGCTCCGGGCCTTGCGGGAGGCGGTGCGGGAGGCAGCCGCTGTTCCCGGGCACCGGGATGTATTTATCAGACTTCGGGCGCCTCCCGGAAGCCGCGAGCTCAGGACCCAGCCTGCGGAGCCGGCCGCGCTCTCCGGCTCCCGAAGCCGGCCTCCCTCCTCCTCCTCCTCCTCCTCCTCCCGGCGCCGCGGCCCGCCCCCTCTCCCCCCGCCGAGGTGGAGGTAACCGCGGCACCTGCTGCGCCCGGCTCCTGCGCTCGAGCGCCCCCTCCAGTCGGGACGCGCAGCAGTAGCGGCTCGGGATCCACGGGAGGGGGGTGGGGGAAACCGGACACCCCGGCCCGACTGGCCGTAGGATCCCCTGTCAGTCTCCCTTCCGCGCGGGGTGGGGGAAGGGGAGGGGGAGGGGGTGCAGATCAGGGGACGCAGGCCGGCCAGGGGTCGCCGCCGAATCGGTGTGCGCCGACAGCGTCAAGACAGAGGGCTCTTAGAGGCTTGGCTCCCGCAGCCGCGCGGGTCCCCCACCCACCCCGCACGCGTGGAATATCGGTGACCTCTGTTTGCTCCAGAGGTGCCCGACTGCCCAGCCGCCGGTACCCCATTCCGGGCCTGAGGGTCACCGGCCTTCAAAACCACCCTGTGTGTGTTTTCCAGGCTCAAATAAGGTTCATTTTTATGTCCCCGGAGCAGGGGCAAGGAGGAGCCTTTGCCAATTCCAGGTTGCCAGCACCCCGCAACGTCCGGTCACCCGCTACGGACCGCAGTACCTAGTCCCAAATCTCCATTTCTCCCCCTACCCCAAAATGAATGCTATATAAGCACAAGGCTGTAGAAGGACATATCGCTAACACAAGTTATATATATACACACATTTTAAACGTGAATGGCAAAGGCATTCCCCGCCCCCTCCCCAGGATCTTGAATTCACATTTGGAATGCCCTGTGCACAGGCGCACACATCTATACTCTCGCACAAGACTAACCTCTCCCTCCTCTTCCCTGCTCCAGCGCCAACCTTGCCCAGCCAGCGCTATATAAATAACACCAGCCCTGCGGCAAACGTCTGTATTAGCATATTTCCTCCTGTACCCAGGGCCCCGACACCAATGAGAATTACAGGGCACCTTTCACACTAGTTTCCCCACATGTTGGAGACATTTCATATTCTGAGGAGTTCATTAATGAAAATCTTAAATAGAGCAATCCATTTCTAGTCTTATTTGGGACAAATAAATAAAAGTAAAAGAAATGTTTTTCCTTTCCAAAAGGACACCCTGTAAGCTACATATATTGTTTACTTTTGTATTTCCACTACTCGCTCAACCTCGTGCTGTATAATTTAGGTACATGCTGTATAATTTTTAACCCGCAATTCAATGTTACAGACAACATGTGTTTACTGCATGAAATTCTTGCACATGGAAGAACTGCTTCTGAAGACAGCCAGGAGGCCAGGCTTGGGGAGACCAGACCGGGCTTTGTGAATTTTCCTGAGTGGCTGGAAAGGAGAGATTAGACAACAACAGGCGGAAGGGACTTAATGGGTTGCAGAAGACTCCAAATCTTGTAGAAATGGGTCTCGAAACCTGCACATATTTGAAGAACTTTAGTGAGTGATAGATAGTGCACAATGTATATGTGGTGATGATTTTTTCCAACTCTCATTATTTATTACCTTACCCCTTCATTTAAAGAGCTAATTCATGCAAAGTGCTGATCCCCATGCCTGCAACAGAGTAAGTGCTCAATGAATGTCAGCAGTTTATCATGACTATCTACAACTGTTACATACAATCTGCATTTCTGTTTCTGAATTTGTATATAACATGATTTGTATTTTCATTTATTTCTGCTTCAGTGCTGTCTTTTCCAAAAGAGGTCTGCTCTGTTTGACTCCATCTCTTTTCCCCTTGGTCATTAGGACTCATTTATTTTCTTATAGTTCATCAAAAAATAAGCCATCAAGGGTCTTTAAAAATTTGTTTTGTTGACTATGAATTATACAGAGTGGTGAGTTTTATTGTGGCATATTCTTCATAAATACATAAACATACTTGATCAGTTTAATAGCCACTGACTTAAAAATGGTCATTCTAATTAGAATGATAAGAATCATAGGCAACTTTTCAATATTGGCTTTTGAATTCTCACATTCCAGGGTCTTCAAGAGGAATTGGTGAGGGTTAGATGCCTGACTCTGAGATCATAGAGCTGGCTCACCACAGAACCAAACAACTGGTTTCTCCCTCCCTCCCTCCTTCCTTCCTTCCTTTCTTTCTTTCTCTACAGGATTGAACCAAGGAGTGCTCAACCACTGAGCCACATCTCCAGCCCTTTTTTATTTTGAGACAGGGTCTTGCTAAGTTGCTTAGGGCCTTGTTAAATTGCTGAGGCTGGCTTTGAAGTTGCTATCCTCCTGCCTCAGTGACCAGAGTTGCTGGGATTACAGGTATGTTCCACCATGCCCCCAGCAAACAACTGGTTTTGAATTCAGATCTTCTGACTTAACATTCAAGGGTCTCTCTATTTTAGTATGCAGAGGCAGATTACAAAACCACAGGAGAGTATTGTAAAAGAGGGGTGGGTGGAAGGAATGGCAATAGTTTCTCTGTACATATGTATATTTTGAGACAGGGTCTTTCTAAGTTGTACACTTTAAGAATACACAATTAAAATAAATTAAACAACTTTACAAAAAGCAAAAAATAAGATATGTTTTGCTTGCCCTTGAAATAAAAAAATAATAATAATAAAAGGAAAAGATATTTGTTAATGGCATTTTTAGGTGGGAGAAGCCCTGACCCCAAAGAAGGAACTTCGTTTTGAAGTTTAGTCCTTGTTCCTGAAAGCTGATAAAAATCCTCAAATGGTATTCCCAGAATTTGGAAACATACTTGAAAATGGTAACATCTAAAATTGAAGTTGAAAGGAATCAACATACAAGGTTTGGAATCCTCCTGCAGCCCTGACCCAGGCATTGTAATTAAGTTGCTTATTAGATTAGAGGTTTTCCAAAGTTCCTCTTGGATTCACATTTTTCCCAAATCTAGTCAAGAAGATTAAAATGTAACTCTTTTAAAATAAACTGTTCTTCTATTTATTAAAACATAAGTGACCTCATAATGAAACCTAGAACAAAAGGAGTAAACAGGAAGAATTTGACACTCCAGCTGCCTCCAGTTCCACTGGCTAGTTTAGGAAAGACTATCAGATACATACTATCAAATTACTTTTGTAATTTTCTGCCTGTTGGTTGCTGTTTTTCTTGTTTACTAATTGACTTACTACCTCCCACCTCTGGAATGTAAGCACCTTTCAGGATAGGTACCTTGTTCAGAGCTGTATTCCTGATTGCTAAAACAGTACTTGGCACCTGCAACACCCTCAACACATATTTGTTGAATAAGTAAGTATGCCCAGTTATTACCTCTTGATGATGCCATCTATTAAGATCATACAACTCTGTTTACTTTGATTCTTAAGTCACTAAGCAAGCTTTTCATATTTGTTCAAATTCTCTAGCATAATATTCAAATCGGCCAACATGAGAATTCAAATGAACTTGAAAATCCCATTTCTTATTGTAACCTGTTGTGATTAGTGATTAATGGATTAACTCCCAATATGAAGGTCTGGGGGACAGTTATTGGCTTGCGGATGGTGGTTTATAGGCCAAATGCAGCTCGCAGATCATAAGCAATGTTTCCAGAATAACAATTGCCTACCGTTCAAGATTGAGAAATTGAACACTTTTTAAAAATGTATTTGGAGTTTCTTTTGTTATCAGGGGATTTGAGGCGGTCTCTCCATGTGCAGATGTTACTACTCCAACTCAGAACTTCACGGCTCTTGACCACATGGGAAAAAAAAAAGAAGAGAAAAGAAAGAAGAAGAAGATGATGATGAATTGAAGAAAAGTCAGGTTTTAATAAAGAGGGGAGCTTTCTTAGAAAGCAAAAGGTAAAGATACACACTTCCCAGAGCAGAATGAGAGTGATCTTGAGGGCTTAATTTGGGTTTTTATTCAGGCTCACAATTAGGTGGAATATGTACAATCCAAACAGTCAGGACTTCCCTAGGGTTTGGAAAATAGGGAACGAGGTCATGTTTTCCAATTAGGGGGTCTGGTGTATTTCCAGGTTTCAGCTTACTTCACCATCTCTGTCAGTCAGGAAAACAGACCAGAAAGTTGGTCCAATCAAAGGTTAGCCCATAGCTTCATGTGATTAAATGGTCTCCTTCTATTGAGGTCTTCTTTTGCTTTGTTACATACCAGAAAACTTATAGGGGACTGGAATTTATGGGTTGTTTAGTAAGCTCATACATTTTGATTTCTTTCTGTCCCTTATGTTCCTTTGTATATCTTATCAGTTGCTCATAAGCCACCTGTTCCAAATTTCAACAGGGACATTTCTCCTTTAGAGACTCTTTTCTCTTTTTCCCTTGGAAGCCCTGGTCCTTCTAATGCCCTGTGTTTGTAGGCCATGCTTCTGTGGAACATCCACAGGCATGCCATTTAGCTCCCCAGAGCATCTGAGTGTGTGGCTCTGAATTTAAGTTAGCATTCTGAATGTCCTGATCTCTCTAAGAGGCTGTCATTCTCTCTTCCTTTGAAAGCTTGTTAAGTGATCTACCAATTTATAATTTCCTAAAAATTGAGAAAATAATGAAAAGAGCTGAAAGATACAAGTAATCTCAAAAATGCTTGAATAAGTTTATTCCCTTAAAGATTACAGGAGAATAAAAAGAGTTTTTGGCTTATCTCTGAAATTGATGGAAACTTAATTTTAATCCCTCCACAATTCTGAAAAAGTCAATTCTAAGGTTTTGGTGTTAGAATTAATTAACTTTAAATGTACAGTACCAGTCATACTAAATAAATATCACATTGGTTTTACTTGTATATTCATATTATTTACATTTGAATTATAGATGGATAGATCACATAATGAATATCATGTGTCTTTCTTCTTATAGCAGCTTGCTTTCTTCCTTTCAAGTAGTTATTTGAAAAGTGGGTGACCTTGATTTTTGGAGGGTGGGAAAAAGCGATATGAAATGATTCCCAACAGTACTTGTGTATATCGTATTTGAACATTATTTATATCACCCTTT